AGAATCCTTTTGCTCACTTAACCTATCTACAGAATGAGTAGAAAAAAGTGGGTTTTAAGGGCATTCAGAGCCAAAGACTTAAAATACCTTTGTATGTCTGTCCTACCTCTCTCTACTTCTTGTTTCTGTCACTGTTGGCTTCATTTTTTTTTTTTTCTTAGTGCAGATAGGTTTCCTCTACTGAAAGAGGACCTGACCAGAGTTACTGGCAATGACTGTGTAGACACTTTGCCCCTATGATTTAAGAGAAAACAAGATTCTTTGCCCCGACTGAATTTGAAAAGTCCTGGGGAAGAATTCTAATTGGTACGGCTCAGGTCATGTGCCTATGGCAGTTTATACAGCTTTAGAGATGAGGTCTGTGAGATAGGTTTGGCTTGTACCACCTGCCGGGGGTGGGGGGCAGATGGACATGGCCCTGAGGGAATTATTTAAGGGGAGGCCACACAGCTTTTCTGTATCTTTAGCCCACGCGGAACCCAGTTAGACAACTAATTAAGGTTCTTTACCCAATTCATTGAAAATCTCAGTTCATTGAAAACGTCAATCTTTCGTTGATGTTAATTTTGTCAGCTTATAAACTTTATTCTCCGCTAGACTTTAAGTTGCTTTTCTGTTTTACAGCACCCAGTGTTGTAGTGGGTTTTTGGGAGTTACGGCTGTTGGAGCATCCTTGGAATAAGCATGCTGAGGTGTAGCATCCTAAGCCTTCACAGATGGACGAGAGCTGAACATTCATCTTATATTAGGGTATTTCCCAAACACTAAGGGCCAAGGACCCAGAGATAAAAGTGGGCGAGTTTTCATTTCTAAATCCTGGGTCCAGAAACTGAGGATCCTGGGACGAGACAGACAGATAAGGAATGGGCATTCCTACAATTCATTACTTAAAATCACAACAGGTTAACTAGAATGCTAATTCTCTTTGTTCTATGATCTGAAACTCTGGTTATACTTTAATTAATAAGGAACAAAACACATAATTAGTGATATTTGTGCCAAGTGTAGTGGCCCATATCTGTAACCCCAGCACTCTGGAAGGCTGAAGCAGAAGGATTACAAGTTTAAGCCTAGTATAGGCAATTTAGCGAGAATCTATCTTTAAATAAATAAATGTTTTTTAAAAAGTAGGGGGAGCCTAGGGATAAAGATCCTATCTAAGGCAAAGGTGCTGGTTCTGATCACTAATAATACACACACACGTACACACACAGAAACACAACAGAGGAGAAAAAGCCACCCCCTGAAGGCAGGTAATCCACAAAACCTATGATCTTCCCTATCTAGTCCTTAACAGAACAAATTGTCTTGTCCTTTTGGGTAGACAGACATGCCTTTATCTGTAGGCCTATATAGATAATAGATACACATTTACAAACACATATATGTATGTCTGTGTTTCCTACATGTCTTAAGAGGGTTATATGAACATCTTTCCTAGCCATGATTACTCATTTTGGGTCATGTTACCTCAAAATTGGTGAAAAATAGTTTCTGAGGGAATGAAATCTTAGATACTGCAATGTTTGTAGCCTTCCCAAAGTCTGCAACTATAAAGAGATATGTTACTGATATTAAAGTTTCTTGGCCAATCTGGAAAATATATCTAATTAGGCTCATTAGTGGATTGATCATGAAAGATAATTTGAGGAGCATGGCCCAGGTCTGAATTCCAGAAGGCAAGACCTATACCTTCCTAACTTGTGAATATACCCTCATTGAGCAGGGATCTAAGAAATAACAGTGAATGTTTACATTTTAAAATATTTATTACAGTAAAAGACACATGAACATTAACCCCTCTTCAAATTCTCCCCTTCTTTATTCCATCATTTTAGTTGCTTTCTGAAGCAGCTCTGGAGTCCTCTTAGGTAAGTGATTTTAGCTGCCTCCATGTCCTGAATTTTTTTGGCCAGGAGGCGGGGCAGTAACAGGGAATCGAACTCAGGACCTTGTGCTTGCCAGCATGTCTTCAATTAATTCAAAATGTTTACCTTTCATGGTCATTTTGATTTTGGGGAAGAGCCAGAGGTTACATAGTGCCAGATCCAGCAAATAAAGTGGATGAGGACACACTGTAATGTTTTTATTTGACAGAAATTGCCATAAATATTTGATTAATGCGGTATGATCAAAAAATATGGTGAATGCCAACCCACTTATTGTGGTAAAAGACACTGTCATTAATTCCCCTCAGAATACCCCTGCTTGCTTCGAACACACCCCATTGTTTTGAGCAATGTGTCTTTTACTATAAGAAGGCTTTTGGAAAGTTTAAACATATTTTTCGAATACTCCTCCTATGTATTTCTTCAGTTTGCTGAATTTGCTACCTCCTGGTTAAGGGAATGAAACCTTTGGTCCAGTTCACTGATTCCACTCCCTCAGTGGACGTTCTGCAGCACTAGGTATTCTGGGGAGAGGGGCATGCTTGGTGTCGAACCCAAGCCTTATCCGTGCTAAATATGAACTTCACCACTGAGCGAATCTCTCAGATTCTGGAACTTTGCAAAAAGAATGCTTTTAGCCTTTTAGAAGTTCGTCCAATGATTTGTTAGTCTGATACATGACACAAGTGCTTCTTGCTTGTCAAACCAGGTTTATTCTCATGTGTGTGTGTGTGTGCACGCGCGTGTGTGTATGTGTGCGTACATGTGTGTGTGTGTGTATATTATTGATGCAATCAAAGGATGGTAGATGCTGGGTATAAAGATCTCTCACCCTAAGACTCGGTGTAAGTGCAACAGCTGTGGCAGTTCCCGTGTGGGTAGAAGACACGGGCACCTCGTTATTTTACCGGATAAATAGGTCTGATTATAATATTCAGGCTTGGAAAGCAGGCTGCTGAAATGTCCAGAACTTAGGTCACCCTGGTCTTGCTCACAGGCGAGCACTGTGTCTTCCACACCTCGGTACAGCAGGGCCCAGCATGGGAGGTGGCTGGAGAATGTGCTTGTGGGACCGGCTGTGCCGAGAGTGGATCTGTACATGCCCTGTTGTGCCCTGAAGTTATTCTTACTAGCAGTTTGCCTTTGCCCCACCTTGCCCTCACTCACAGAACCATTCCTGTAGGTGCAGGTGCCCGCGGCCCCAGTAGCAGGTGATCTTTCCGCTGCTGTTGCACGGCTTGATGCCCGTGTGTAGTAAGGTGCAAATGAATAGCAGAAGATTGTGCCAGCAGCCCTCAATACACAGAGCACCTCTTCATAGTGTGACCCGTCCTGAGTAGCAGTACCAGCCCGCAGGCGGCTCTGAAGAGCCACACCTCCAGGAGCGCAGGGCTGGAAGCTGGAGGTGGCACTTGGGAAGAGGGTCGTTCATTCTGCCCACACCTCGGAGGGGTGCTGCAGAGAGATCCTTCAGGCCAGTGTTTCTCCAGACAGCTCTGTCCACTTTCTCTTTGGAGCAGGACGCCCCCAGGAGTTCAAGAGATGTCCGCCTAAGTGACTTCCTTGAATATAAACTTGTGTCTTTGTGACTGGGGTGCTAGAGTGCACACCTAGCATGGCCCTGGGTTTAATCCCCAGACTTGAGGGTAGGGAAAGACCAAAAAAAAAAACAAAACAAAAAAAAAAACACAAAAAAATAGGGGAAGAAAAGGGAGAACAAAAAAACTTTAAAAAATTATAAAATGTTTTATATCTAAGTATTTAGTTGACCAAAGTTGTATTTATTTTTAACATTTGTGTATTTTTAGCAGTGCACCCCACCAAGTGTGTATTTGGTGTAATATAAAAGCACCTAGTATATTTTACATGGAATTGATACTCTGCAAAAATGAATGTCACCCATCCCGTCCCCAGCCCATCCTTCTGAAGTGCTGTGCGGACTTACATCATGGATGGAGAAGCCGAATGCAGCCATTGGTGGTGCACAAACAGGTATTACCACTTTGGCCTTAGAAGTAGAGATGCATTTTCACCTAAAGCAGTAAAGATGGGGCCAAGCACAGCAGCAGGGCCTATGACAGTCGTGGCAGTGACAGCCCTGCTAGCTTCTCCCTAGTTTTCATACCGGGTTTTGTAATCACTGCCCAGTGGGCTCTCTGGGAACCCTGTGTGCTGTCTGCAAAGGTGAGGACTTCTTTGCTGGCCTTGGCAGTCACAGTGACCCTGGGACTTCCTCAGCTCCTGCACAGTCTCCGCCAGCCCTAGAGAGGCCCTGCACATTCTGCTGGCCGAGGGTGAGGTAGGATCAGGCTTCCCATGGCCCGCTTCATGCAGAGCCAGGGATCTGTTTTCAGTAAGGATCCAGCCATTCAGAAACCTGTCTTCCTAAAGGGCACATTTACCTTTACTGTTGTTCAGAGGACAAGAAGACGACTTCCAGCACATACTTCTTTCACGTCTCAGATTTGAATCAGATGTATCATACCTTTAATCTTCATCCGTTTATCCATGCACCTTCATAAATGGCCTTGTTTAACTGTGATGTTTTGGTGGAATTTAACGGGAAGTAAAAATCATGTAATTAATTACAGCTGCTCTTCGAGTCGAGCCTGTCATTGGGAACGCAGAGGGGTTAGAGCTGCAGGTGGTTCCTCTGCACTACACGCTTCTTCATGTGTGTTCCCTAAGGTAGAACTGTAAACAACCACCAGGAAATTTGGGATAAAAATCTAAAGGGAATGAGACATGCTGACCAAGTTAGAAAGCAAGTGACCTGTACCTGCCCGCTCCCAAGCTGGGCTCTTGCTCCACTTTTCTGGTGGCTCTCTCCCATGAAGGGCTGCACCCCTGAGTCTTGGATTCGGCATATTCCAGTGGCTGTGAGGACACAGTCATGCAGTTATTTTCACACAAGGCCAGTGTGGTCGACCTTGTTCTTACTGAGCTGCTGGTGGTGGGATAAAATTACTAGGAACAACTGTTCTTGATCACTATGTAAGTGCCGTGGTGCAGTGGAAACCGTTTTCTTAAGGCTTCTCAAAATTAGTGGGTGTGAACTGGGGATGTAGCTCAGCAGCATAAGCGCCTGCCTGGTAAGTGTGAGGTTGAGAGTTCGATCCTCAATACCAAAAAAAAAAAAAAAAAAAAATTAGTGGGTGATAGGGGCTGGGGTTTTACCTTAGTGGTGTAAGCACCTGCCTGGCAAGTGGGAGGTCATGAGTTTGACCCCCGGGAACCCTCCTCAAAAAAGTTAGTGGGTGGTGCTATAACTTTGTTTATAAATAAAGGTGATGTATCTTTTTTTGTTTGTTTTTTTGGTGTCGGAGATCGAGCTCATGACTTTGCACTTGCACTTGCAGGCAGGCACTTACACCACTGAGCTAAATCCCCAGCCCTTTTTGTTTGTTTTTTGAGACAGAATCTTGCTCTGCAGTTCAGGCTGGCCTTGTGCCCAGGCTGATCCTGGACCAGTGGTGATCCTTCTACCTCAGCCGCTTACATGCTGGGATTCCATGAATGCTCCTGAATGAGAGTGGTGCCTTAGAGAAAGCCATGATCAAAAGGTTAATTCCAAGCAGAGATGATCAGCAAGATTTATGTTAGGACTCCGATGCAGATGTCAGGCCTGGTTGGTTGTCAGTGTGACAGAAGAAAGGCACAGACTGTGGTCACATAGACCAGCGCTGGAAGCTGGCTGTGTGACCCTAATCCCACCTGCAGCCCTTTGCTCTCTCATCCCAGGAAAGGGAGTGGGGCTGACAATTGTCTGCAGTATTAAGGAGTTCCTGGCACACAGAGGGTGTTTTTAGTGGTATTGTCAATTGGGACAGTCTCTTCACTCTTCCCTCCTCCAAACTTGTCTTACTCTGCTGAGTCAGGGTTTAAATTTAGTTAGATCTGTTAGATCTTTAAGCAGTTGTGGGAATAAGCCTTCCATTTAAAGTGTGATGTTCCTGAGACTATATATATAGAGAGAATATGTTTTCTGTCTGATTTTAAGGAAGAATTCCATAGATAATTTATTTTTGAGTCATAGGCTCTTGTGTTACAAATATACCCTACTTGAAGTTTTTTTGGGGGGTACCAGGGATCAAACTCACAACCTCAGGCTTGCCAGGCCGGTGCTTGTGCCACTGAGCTAATCCCCTGGCCCCTGACTTGAAGTTCTTTATACAGCCTATAATGCTTCAAACTCAGCTCATTTTACACATTTCTTTTTTTTTTTTTTTCTGTCTTTTTTTGTTGTTGTTTTTATCGGTACTGGGGATCAAACTCATGGCTGCCTGCTTACAAGGCAGGCGCTTATGCCGCTGAACTAAATCCCCAGCCCCTGTTTTACACATTTCTTTTTTTTTTTTTTTTTTTTTGTTTTTTGTTTTACACATTTCTTAAAAGCAGGTGCATCCTTGTGTGCATGTGTACAAGATATGACCCCACTTTTGGGAACAGTATGAAAACAAAATTCTTCGAAAGTTGGAGGTGCTTAAGACAGTTTGCTTTTTCAGTGGTCGAGGAGATTTTCCCACAAGACTTGGTGCTTGCGTTTATAAATAGAGGTGTGCGTCTGCGACCAGGGCTGCTCCTCTGTAACCACAGCACTGAAGAGAATTCTTTCAGGACTTGAGTGGTACTTGTTATCCAACTTCCAACTTAAAAACAAAACAAAAGATACTACATTTAACTTCACAAAACAGCCAGATAGAGACTCAGTGTGAAAAGCTTCTAGGTATGTTTGTTGTGACACGTTCCTTTAGGAATGGAATTTTGTGGACACTATTACAGCTGGAGAGTGAGATTTCCCCTTGTCTCCCAACTTCCCAAACATTGATTACATCATCATTAATATTTTCTGGTTGGATGGGCCGCGGGTTTAGCTCAGCAGCATAAATGCCTGTTTGGCAAACAGGAAGTTGTGAGTTCGATCCCCAGTACCAAAAAAAACAAACTTTTTTTTCTGGTTGGGCCATGAAAATTACCAAAGCTGGGATGTAGAAATGGATACATAGTATCTGTCTACTGTTGTGTTTTCCAATAATAAATTAAAATAAAGTTGTAAAGACAGCACAGAGCCAGGCATAATGGTACATACCTGTAATTCCAGCATGCAGCATGGTTGAGGCAGGAGGTTTGTGAATTTGAGGCCATCCTGGGGGATATAGCAAGTTCGAGGCTTCCTAGACAACATAAGAAGAAAAAGCCAAACAAAAACTCAGAAGAACTGGAATTTATTGTTTTTTTTTTTTTTTTTAACTTTATGCTGGACTGGGATAATAGCTTTTTCCAGTCGATCTCTTGGGCTGTCCCTGGCAATGTAGTGACAAAGTAAAAAGACAGATAGATTTAGGGTCCTCAAATGGACATATTATTTGAATTTAAATATTTATCCCCAGAATTTCCAATCTGAAAGTATTTAAAAACTGCCTTTAAAGATAGAAAAGTATTATGGTGAATGTGTGTGATGGAAAGGACAGAGGGTCTGGGTGGAGTGGCGGGAGCTCTTGTCCATTAGCTGAATGGTCGTCTCAGAGCTGATTTCTTCAGCTGTAAAGCAGGAATGACTCATGCCTTGCCTACTTTTTAGGGGTTTTGCTGAGCTACATACATAGTGTGATGATGTACTTCATGACTACTATGCACCATGATGTTAACCTAGGACCTGGGAATATACAGCCCCAGAAACACAGTGGTAATTTTGTTTTCCGGTAGCTAATTCCCAAGTGGAAGAAATGCAAATATACAAAGGAAAATCAACTCCCCCTCCCTGCCCCACTTTCCTTTGTGATACTTGGGATTAAGCTCAGGGCCTTCGCTCTGAGTTTTATCTACAGCCCGTTTAAAATATTTTATTTTTGTGACAAGGTTTTGCTAACCTGTGACATTGTCTAGGCTTGGCTTGATCCTCCTGTTAGCCTCACAGGGTGCTGGGGTTGCAGGTGTATGCCACAGTGCCCAGCTACGTACCACTTTTAAAAGACACTTTTAAGTAGTACAGTTCAGTACTGCAGAATGCATATGTTAAACCGTAAGAAGAAGTGGTTCATTGTTAGAGATCTGCTGTAGACATACCTAGTTTCCATAGACCTGCAGTTTATCAAAGAAAACTTTCAGCTTTCTGCCAATTTCAGCTTTTTTTTCTTCACAGCCTTATCCTGACTCTTATTTCCTCTCCATAAATACATTTGGAATACAAAACGATACAGCTACCTAAAAGTCTTTGTCCTGTAAATGATATATGGTGCCTTCCCATTTCAGTAACTAAACAGATCAATCATTGTCCTCCCTCTCATCCTGGTCTTCATCCCCTCTTAAACTGACCATGTTATATCTGCCTTTCCAGACCCTTTCTCTTACACAACAAGCGGGAACACAGAGTGAAGATTTTGAGGAGTTTTGTTTGTTTTATACGCATTGTCATCCTAACTGAAGTGTGCTACAACTTGCTTTTTTCACTGCACATTAATTACATCTGGGAAGGTATTGGCTTGTTTACTTTACCTTCTGCTAAACTGCTCTGTGTATGTTTCCCAATCACCCACTGATGGATAGCTGGGGTGTTAAAAATTCCAAACAGTATTGCAATAAATGTCTTTGCAATGAACTGTTACTTAAGGAGATACAGGTTTTCTTTAGGATAGATACAGTATTCAATGTTGAGACTGATTGATTCAGTATTGAGAGGTGGAATTGCCAGGTCCTCAGTTAACGCTGGTTAATAGAAAGTTACTTTCCCAAGTAAAATGGATATTCTTTTTCAAACTTTAGTTTCTTGTCTGTTTTTTTTTTGTGTCATTTGGTTAAGAGCTTTGCAGACACAGCATAGGCCAGAGTAGACCTGAGAGTCTAGTTCTGAAAAACTCACATGGTGCCGTTGAACAAGAACCATACTTGGAGTAAAAAGAACCTAGAGAACAGACCTACTGCAGCCTATTTGTGAGTGACCCCAGGAAGTGACTGTTTTCATGGTCAGGTGTACATATGCATTCGCTTACGGACTTGAGTTATTTTCCTTAAAAGTTGTATTTTACCAAAAGTATTTGAATGCTTACCCCAGAATGCCTGACTTTTATTTAGAGTTAGGTGCTGCGAACACATGTGGCACATGTCCTGGTTGTTAAGACTAAGTGATGGGTACATGTGGGTTTATTACATATTCCTGCTCTTGTGTGGAACGTGTCACGAAAAGCTCACAATACGTATTTGAAAAAAAAAAAAATCAACATTTGTGTCGTTCTAAAGATTTTCAGCTTGGTGCAAGCTGCTGTGCTTTCTAAGATTTCCTCTAGTAGATGATTTGAAAGTGTTTTATTTTAATCAGTCATATATTTTGATTCATGTGAATTTAATATATTAAAAGTATTTTCAGAAGTTTAAAAACACCAGTCAGGGTTACAAAGTGAACTCGAGGTCAGCCTGAATTGCAGCGAGACCCTGTCTCAAAAAGACAAAGAAAAAAAATTTAAAATGACCATTAAAAGAGCCTTGTCTACTGCTGTACCACCTACCTCAGCAGCTGTAGTCAGCCAGCCTTGTTCTCGAAGTGTGATTGCACCGTGGTGGTATGTTAATCCTAGAGCACGTCAGACAACCCTACGGCCAGAATGCCAGGCCGATCACCTGCAACACATTTAAGCAGGATTTTGATGTCTTTTCAGCAGAAGAGAGTTCTGTAGTTAAGTAGCAACGTCCATGTCGCTGTCTGCTGGACTGGAGAATCAGCGTGAACAGCATTGACCCTGGCTCATTGGAAGCACTTGTTTTCTAGTGGAATAACAAGGCACAAAAATTGAAATGCTCTGCTTTTGGTTCATGACTGTAGAGGACCTAGTCCTGGAATCAGCTCTTTGTAGCCTACTTCCCTTTCTACCATTTCATCCTGTTACAGGACTCTAACCAGCTACATAAACTGTGTATTGCTTTGCTTGGTAGAACACAAGGAACCATTCACTTTTTAATGAATGGTTTTGGAAAAATCAATTAATCAGCAGGGCGTGGTGACACACACCTGTAATCCCAGCACTCAGGAGGCTGAGACAGGAGGATTGTTGCAAACTCAAGGCCAGCCTAACTGAATAGTGAAACCCTGTCTCTCGAAAAGACCAAAAAACAAAACCAAAATCACTTAATCCCGAGGAAGAGTGTAGTTTATTCTTATGGAGTAACTGCCTGGCTCTTATGCTTTGGCCACTAGGATGATCAGAACCAAATCTCTTGCTGCCATGACCCTCTGGTTTGCTCTGACCTGCGTGATTATGCTTATTTCTTGTCCCCCCACTCTGCCCTGGACTGATCTAATCAGTTCCACATATTCTCTGTCAGACGTATCATCTCAGTGTGTTACTGTATATCTGTACCATAAACTGCCTCAAATATTTGTGAACCAGATGGAATATAAACAAAGGGCCTTGGAATGTTTGAGAAAGTTGTTGATGGAACCGAAGAGGATGAAAATAGCGTCATAGATTGGAGAAATGTTGGTGACTGTGGGACCCGCGCCTCCTCTGCTTCTCCCATCCCCGGCCCCCGGGGTCCTGGCTGCCTTTGCCTCTGCAGTCCCTCCCGTGGCTTGAGCAGGGACAGCTCTGTGTCTCTGGCTTCCCTTTCGCCGGACAGCTTTGGCCGACTCGTAAAAGCCCAGCATTCTGTCCTCAGAGCTAGGAAGCTTGTGAGTCTTATGTTTGGCCATTTCCTGTCCTCTCCCAGGTTGATCTTCCTGCTCCTCTTTTGATGCACTGCAGTCTGTCTTTGGATCCTTCTCTTCCTCTGAACCTTCAGGTCCTACATTTGGCTGCTATAGCTCTTACAGTCTGCAATATAGCCCTCTGCGTTCCTACTACCCCCATTTGATGCTGTTGGAGGCCCAGAGTGTAGCTCCTGAGTCCCCTCTGGCGTAGCTCCATCCATGACTTACGTGCTCATTAAAATGTTTGCTGAATGAAAATACTGTAGTTCTTGGAATTCCTTTAGAGAGCAACAGTAGTACAATACTCCTCAGTTTCTGTTACTGTCATGGTTTGTTGAGCTCTTTCATATTATTGTAATGTTTTACATGTCTTCTGTGGAGTGCTTTGAGGTCAATCTTGTGATCATCCTTTCTTATTGTACAAATGGAGAAACAGGTACAGAAGTTTAAGTAACTTAGCTCCATCGATGGTGGAGCTAAGGTTTGAACCCACCTCCCCCTGAAGCATCACATATGCTGTCTCTGAAATGTACTTCTTTTTCTATGGGAAAGCATAGCTGTTTCTTAAAGTCGCTTGGTTTTCTTAGTCTGTGATTTTACAGTAGTGGAGGAAAGCAAGAGGACATTTGCAACCTGATGAATGTCACCAACATCCTAGAAGCCCTCTGTTGGGTTCCCTGCTTCCCCCTTTTCGGCCCTGGAGCCTCCCTGCCCTTCTCAGTTGTGTCACCTGGAGGTAGGGTGGTGCTGCAGTCCTTTGCCCTATGAAGAGGCCACGCTCTAGGCTCTTTCCCCCTTGAACACTTGTGTTGAGCAGGGTGTTAAGGAGCAGGAGAAAGGAGCCTGAGGCTCTGGCCCCCGCGTGCGCGAGCAAAGGGCCCTTACGGAGCAGCAGCAGGGCTTGGTAGCAGGGAGGGCCAGAAGTGCGAAGGATGGAAGAATGGCAGTAAAGTATTTGCCTTTGTCTGGCCCCTGGCACGAGTGTGCTCCACACGTGGAAAGTAAGGCACAAGGGCTTTTCAGAGCGCTCGTGTTGAGGGTACTTAGCCTGCGAGTACTAATGAGTGGGCACAGCAGAAGAAAAGCAGAAGCCTGTAAGCCTGCAAAGCTGCACTGAGATGTGTCAGCCACAAAAAGAAGGTGGCACGAGAAGATGAGATGGAACAGAAGCTGCAAGATACTGTGGAAGCCGGGGTTTAGCTCAGCTGCATAGTCGCCTGCGTGAGTTTGATCCCTAACAAAAAATAACTGGATAAAGCCAGTTACTTACTTACCCCTTGGTGATGGTGCTTCTTTCCACTTACACGTAAGACCCTTCTTGTCTCCCTAACTTAACGTGGGGAACTTAAACTCCCCTCAAATCGGTTGTGTTTTATTTTAAATAAAAATTTTGAACATAAAACAATAAATTTTATATAGGAACAGTTTATTGTTATCATTTCTGCCTTGTAAGTCTCTTTAAAGACAATGCATTGATCTTTTAGCCAAAGCTCAAGTTCTGTAACGTTGGTGTCGTCATAGTGATGGGTCCTCCTTCGCCATAATCAGCACGGCAGCTACACAGCTCAGTGATCAGCCCTGGGAAAGTGTCAAGAGGCCCAGAGATGTGACCAGCTTTCTGTGCCGTTCATGTCCACACTGATCCTCCATGACAGGGTCTGAAGGGTGTCGGTGGGGTGTGGCTCCTGGGTAGCCGTGCCTATTTGGCTGCTCTTTGGCAGCCTCTGGAGCATTCTTCCCGTCCTCTGTGCCCCCGCGGACAGCGCTTCCCTTCTCAGAGCCTGCAGGGCAGGAGTGAAGTCTGCTGTCCGCTCTGTAGGCGGCCTGGTCTGTGATTTTACTGTGAGCCGACATCTGGAAGGCTAAGAGAGAAGGAAGAAAGGGGAACGTGGGGACGTGGGCTCTGATGATGAGAACGCATGCACCATCTGCAGCAGACGGAGTGCAAAGACGGTCGTGTGTGTAACGTGGGGTTGAGAATCGGCCCAGGAGCGCGAGGAAAGGCTTTCTGACAAAGCATGACTTTGAAAGTCTTTGAGAGACTGAGTGGGTAGGGCCGTAAGGACCATCTGCAGGCTGAGCCCTCTCTCCAGATAGGATGTGTATGCTGGATAAAACGTCCTGTGGGGAAAACTGCAAGAGGGCTCACAACATTTGTTTTTCAGCAAATGTTTGGAGTATCTGTTGTGGGCCAGGCATTGTTCTAGTCACTTGACCTAGAACAATGAACAAAACAGATTAAAACAAAATAAAACAAGACTAAAAAAGCGCTGCCCCCGTAGAAGAAACAATTTATCATAGAGAAGCAGAAAAAATAAATACATAAACTATTACTTAGAGGCTTTTACTTGAATAGAAATAGAATCAAGGGAAGTTAGAAAAAGGCGTGACAGTGGAGAAGTGTCTGGGTGGCTGTGTTTGGGTTCAGATCTCCTCCGGACCCAGTCGGAGATGGCCTCAGTGGGTGTCCATCAGCCGGCCTCGCAGAGGCAGCGCGGGCCGCAAGCTGAAAGTCCTGTGTTCTCTGTGGGCCTGATACCCAGTCCAGTGCTGTTGCTTCTTTTTGCACCTAGAGTAAGTTCTGCATTGCAGGTAAGCTCATCCGATTTGAAATGTACCATCTTAAAGATTCAGAGCGCGATACCCCTTACAGCAACTGAGTGAAGAGAGGGGGAAATGAATAGAAGGAAGAGAAGAGAGATGCACTTATTGACTGAAATTATTGAGCAGAGACTGTAGCCAGAACTTGTTTATCTGGAAGATTTTTGGAAAGCGGGAAGTTTACTTCCTTAAGCAAAAATGTTTTAGCAGTTTTGGATAGCAGTCATAAAAGGATTTCCTGATTTCCTGCTTCTTACACACAGTCTAGCAAACGTATTTTAATTGTAATGCAGTGGTTACCTTAGGCTGATTTCAAGTTCTGTAAGCCTGTTTGCCCCTATTTTAAATGGTTTTAGGCTTCTTTTGCTTTAAGTTCTATGACTGTTCCTTTGGTCTTAAAACCTTTTCCAGGGTGTTATCTCTTTCTCTGCCTATAGGAGCTCCTCGCCTCCTACCTTTGAGGGAGGTTTGCTGATCATTAATTTATGGCCTCGAGGTCTGGTCTTCATAGGTACTGCTGGGAAGCGGTAGATGTGAGGATGAGTCTTGTGTCTGCTGTAACTCACCAGGTTACACAAGTCATTTAATGGCCCTTTTTTATCTGTAAGCTTGGATTAAAGGCCTACTTGTCATACGTCAAGAACACATGGGATGTTTTGAGAATATTTTGCCATGAATAAAATGTTCTGCAGATTTAACCCACTGCTGTGCCTTCCGCCAGCACGGATCGGTCTCTGCTGTCTGCTTTTGCCTCTCCTGTTTTCCCTGAGGAATCGGAGTTCCTTCTAATGCCTCAGATCTGCTCCCTGGAATTGGCTTGCCTTCCGCAGCGTGCTCCAGTAGAATCAGGACTTGGGCTGTGTCTTCTGATACAGATTGCCGCGAGTGAGCCTAAGACGGAGAGGGCACAGGTCAGGAGTCTTTTCCTTTCCGGGTGTCTGACCCTCACAAGGTTGTATGGGCCCTTTGTTCTCAGGGCTGAACTTGGAAAGAATGCAGCGGCTGCCACTGTTGTAGGCAGTTGGTACTCAGAGGTAGCATTGAAGAGACATTTCACCCAGCCTTGGTGTGTGGTTAGTACCGGCCTCTGGAGTCGCATCATTTCTGCAGCTGAAAAGAAATTATTTCTTACCTTTGAAGACAGTGTCTATCTCTAACATGGATCTGAGAGGAATCAATGTATGGTCTTTAAACTGAGTACCCACTTAGTCACTTGGCCTTTACTGTTCAAGAGCTTCAGGTTTTAAGACATTCTTGCAGCCTCTTCATAACTTTCTTTTTGTGAACTGAGCCTTTCAAAGTTGTTTTTCTTCTGCCACAGACTGTGGTACTCCACCACTAGAGGGCAGCACTGCCTTAAGTCACATGATCCGAATCTACAAGTTCTGGATTTGAGGCTTCCTTTACTCCTCCAGACTCCTACTTAAAATTTCTCTTATCTTTTATATGCATTAAATATACACATTTGGAACGTATTTAAGTGCTATTAAGTGACCTCTTTAAGATGTTTAATTTACTTAAGAAAAGCTTTAGCATACAGCTCTTTGTCACCATTATCTTGTTCTCTGCCAAGTTACCTGAACACCGGGATGAAGCTTTGTCCCAGAGGATTATGGTTTGCTGGAGCCTTTGGGTGGTTCACCATTGCGAGGTCTGCCATGTACTGTACACTATTCACATCGCCTACATACCTCTTCCCTGGTTCCTGTATGGGTGTGTTTGGGGGAAACTTTTCAACTTTCCTTCTTCCCTTTTCTATAGAAGGTAAAGATCTAAAATGTTTATATACTCTCTCGACACCCCTGAGAGTATAAAGGCCTCTTTGTTGCTTTGCACTCAGTCATCAGGAAGTCCTTTTTCACCTTGGTGCAGAGATAAAGTAGCTCCCTTTTCTGTTTTTCTCGGGCAAGAAAACATTTTTCTTTCAGACACAGTCACAAAGGTGTAAATAAGGAGAAGGGAATCTAAGATTGTCCACATTGTAGGTTTGTTTTGAAGGACAGATTCCAAGAACTGGGATTACTGGATCAAAGAGTACATATTAAGGAATTTACTAACTACTGCTGAATTACTTCTCTGAAAGATTGTACTGATACATACCCACCAGCTATTTATAAACATATTTTTTCATCCTAACATATTCCAGAATTGTATCCCTCATTTCAACCCCCTTACCTTAAAAACATTTTATAATTACAGATATTTTTCTAACTAGAGCACTTATTGATCAATATTTTTCAAAATGTATTACTTTCCTAATGAGGTGTGTTAAGAAATGGTTCAGTGGTCAGATACATTTTAAAATGTTACATAGTTGTCCCTCTTGGATACTGATAAAAAGCATCTGTGCATTGCAAGGCTCAGGAGAAGTCTTGTGGTAATCTATGGAACTTTATGTGTCACATTTTACTTGCTTAATTACAGAATGCTTTTTAAAGAGTAACATCTGGTAATATGTAATGGATTTGGGAGTGTGTTTTAGAACCTAGAAAATTATAAGGATTCTAAAACCTTTTGAACCTGAGTTAAGATCTGACCTGTGAACTTAGTGATGGGGAATAGATTCCTTGGTAGCAAGATTAAATAAAATAATATATAAAAGTACATACCAAAGGTCATAGGATTTTTGGGAAGGCTGAAGAAGTAGACCCCAGGTAGAATTTATGGGGCTGCCACAGGACTTGTCTGTCAAGGGGGTTGCTACTTCTGTCACCATCTAGAAGCTTCCATCAGAACGACCTCTGCCAAGATGGGGAACCACTGAGTCCACAGTCATGTGTTTCTACTCTGTACAAAGTGGGGCTGGGAGTTTGTTTTCAATTTTATTTTTGGAAGGAGGGATTTTACATTATAGAGAGCAATCAAATACGGAGAGAATAAATGACTGAGCAGCCAGCATTGGCAGGCGTTCAAGAAAACAGGGTTGTGTAATGTGAACGCCTCTAGATACAGGTCAGAAAACTGGGGTATAGCTCTGGCTGTACCCCACGTGGCAGTGATGTGACCTGGGGCAACTCCATTTTCAGACTCCATGTACTCATCTCTGAAGCAGATATAATTAATAATTCCCTGTGATATAACAGACTCAGAATAAAGGTAAAAGGTAACAGCTATAAATATATCTGGAGAAATCATAAAGGTTTCAGTAAGTAAAAGATATGTTTTTCCACCCTCCGATTGGCTTTAGGTCGGGGGTTGATCATCTTTCTCTGTAAAAGGCCCAACAGTAAGTATTTTTGTCTTTGTAAGCCATAGCCACCAAACCTACAAAAGTAATCACAGATAATGTATAAGTGAATGAGTGGGACTGTTCAATTAGACTTCACGAACACTGAAATTATATGCTGTTCAGGTCATGGGATATTGTTATTTTTTCTTTCCACTACTTAAAAAAAATAAAAAACATTCTTAATTTGTGGACCATACAGGCAGCTGGGTAGGTTTGTTCTCTCAGTCCTACGTTGCTGATCCATGTACTGTGCTGCCATACTCTATTTGAAATGTGTGAGAGTACAGAGCTGTTTCACCTTAATGCCCTGGGGCTCTACCTGGCGGTTGTCTACACAGAGAGTGTGTGGTCTGCATTGCTGTTTGCACGGCACTTGGTGATGGTTTCCTCTCTCCTGTCAAATCAGGTTTACTTAGGGGTCGGGTGTGAGGACCCTGAAGGATGGTTTTGCTGCCCAATGATCAGCTTCATGGGACCTCACCTCTTTTACCCTGTTGTCCTATTCGCCTTTGGTTGTGGGAAAGGCTTGAGGGAACCAGGTACGTGTACAGGAAGAGCTGAGTCTCCTGTGGTGCCATGCCGCCCCTGCCCCTTCACCCACCTTGTGCTCGCTTTTGCAGTCTTTGGTCTTCAACCTCACAATTTTGCTGCCTTACCGACAACACTGTTTTGGGGTTTTTTTTTTTTTTTTTTTTTTTTTTTTTTTTTTTTTGGTACCAGGGATCGAACTCACGACCTTGTGCTTAACAGGCAAGCATTTGAGCCACTGAGCTAAATCCCTGGCCCCTGACAACACTTTCTTTGCCCAAAGAACTTCTGCCATTATAATTTCATCATCCCTATTAGGATATCAGAACCATAGTATTCTCCTTGTCCTCAAGTCCCGTGGAATTACCTCCAGTCCACAGAAGCGAAGCGGCAGAGTGGCAGTGCGGTGTGAAGCAGCGTGGAGGGTGACCCGCACGCCCGGGGAAGCATGGCTTGGGATTTCTTTGCTTCTGACCCTTCCCCATGCTTCCTTGCTTTTGCAGAAATCTGTCCTCAGTTTTTCTCAGCCTGATGGGTACTGGCAGTCAGCAGAGTGTGCTGTAATGACAGCAACACCTGGCAGCAGGCAGCAGAGAAACGGGGTGCAGTGAAAGGGGCCATGCGGGTGCCAGGCGAGGGGCGGTCTCTGCCTTCCTAGGCTCCTGCCACTTTCCCACCAGGTGAGCCGAAGCCGTCCTCGGAGCACAGCGCTCCTCCGGGGTGCACGGTGCTGGCTCGAGCCGTGCTGTCTCCACTGATATCACACAGACCGGCTCCGGGGCTTTCTGATTCAGAGCAACTATATTTAAATTTGCTTTGCATGTATCCCTTTTATTTGGGCTTTACTAAATATAGCTGGATGGGAGGAAGGGGGAAACAGTGTGTAGAGCAGAAGTTAAAACACGCCAGCGCCTTGGCAGCTTTGGGACAGAAAAATAAAACTTTAAACTTGCTTTCTATTTTGAGGCCATCACAAGATGTTTTGTGCTTACATTCATTCCCAAGTCATAAACAGGGGTGGGAGGGGCTGGGAATTAAGTTATCTCTTGAAAGATATTAATTTGGAATGGAGTTAAAATTAGCAAAGGAAAGAAGGGGGAGGAGGTAGAACACTGAGCACAGCCTGTTTGTACGCAAAACAGTAAACACCTCACGGGGCAGAAGAGCGTGCAAGTGTCCTTCGGCCTCTGCTCCTTGACAGAGCCCCGTTGTCTCAGAGGAGGGGGCCAGACCTCGTGCTGTGAGAACTTGGCCCGAAAGCCTGTCGGGGCGACGGACACAGGTCCTCGGCTTCCAGAGGCCGAGATCCCAGTCCAGGGCTTGTGACTAATCGGCAGTAGCTGTCACCCTGTGAGCTGTTTTGTCGTAACGTAATAATCACATTCAAGATGCAGTCATCGCCTATTTTTAGGAAGCTCCCTTCTGGGAATCGTGGTGAGGATGGTCTCCAGAAAAGCGTGCTTTCCACCCCTGCGGACTGGGTCCCTTCCTGGCCGCTCCTCTGGGGAGGAGGACACTGTCCACCTCCCCCTCCAGGGCTTCCGCCTCACTTCTGCTTGTCCCCCGGCCCTGTCTGTGGCTCTGCCAGACACAGCCTGATGCTTCTGGCTGTGCAGGTGCAGACACCTGCACGGAGAAGCCTCACCTGGTCATGTCTGCGCCCGGAAAGCAAACTTTGTACCAGAATGGCTGGTGAGGCAGCCTTACCGAGACATTCCCAGGACGGCACATTCCTGCTCAAAAACTCTCCCTCGCCCTAGAGAGAAGACCAGAAGATGAAAGCAAATATACCAGCTCGTGAGTGGTGGTTTTTCTGTGCGTGGCGAGCTCCCTGGTGATCACTTTTATTCAGTTGATGGCTTTTGGTCTTTTCCAGTTACACCATCACACTGCTTTTTAGGATGATGTTATTTTTGTGATAATACTAAGTACCATTTAGAAACTTCCAACTGCTGATGATAAGTCCTCCCTTGTATTCTCTGGGTTTTGGCTTTTTTTTTTTTTTTTTTAATTTAAAGAGAAAGGAAAAAAAAACCAAAGCAGTAAAAGGGTATCAAGTAGTACAGAATTTCAAGAAAAAAAAATACACAGTAAGAAATCACTAGTTAATAGATTACATATTGTCATCTTAGAAACAGTTGTCCAAATTACAAAATTAAAACATACAAAGTGGACATTTATACAGTGAGGTTGCAGACAGTTCTGTTAAATGATCCAACAAAAACTCATTAATACGGTTTTCTATCCTACACACTTAAATATACATGCAGTTAAATCCTTTAGACCACTTTCTTTCCTTCTCTTTTTTACAATAACAATTACACTTTTTGGGTTTTATTACTCCCACAGTTCTTATAACTTTTTTTTTTTTCTGAAGAAAAAAAAAACCAAATGTGATGCAATGGAATACTACTTAGCTATAAAGAATGATCACATTGAGATATTTATAAATAAATGGATGCAGATTGAGACCATACTCAAGTGAATAAATCCAACTCACATGTATAAATACCGAATAGTTGCCCTAGTATAAGAAATGATAAGAATACATAAAAATATGTGCTAATCATGATTCCCAGTCATATAGGTTTGAAGTCATATAATGTTTTCACTCACTAATTGGAATGGTTTTAACCTGGGTTGTTTGATTTTATTGTCTGTGATAGTACAAATAGCTATTTTGAAGAAAACAAGGTATCATAATAGCTAGTGCTGATTTAATATCATCTTGTTTTGAAGTCCGATCAAGCTGTTGTTTGTCTGTTTCCACTGGTTTTAACATGTGTCTTATTATATTTTACTATATGCGATAGTATGAACAAATTTTTTATAGGCAAAGAGATAATATAGAAACTATTGTTTGTTTTCTATTAGCTGGTTCTAAATACCCTGTAATTCTTTCATTCTCTTGAATGGCTTCACACTGTCTTGATATGTTTGATGCTATAGTATACGAAGTTATACTCAAATAATTCAAGGAAAGAGACACTATGGTGACTACTATTATCTGGTTATCTGGTGGTGAAACACAATGATGCTTTAGATTGTTCGGTTCTGACCCGTGTTGTTCTGTTACTATGTCCTCATTTATCTCAATCTCTCCCTTTCTTTCCTTTTTTTAAAAAAATTAATTTATTTTTTTCTTATTTTAATTAAGAGGAAACTAAATTTAAAAATAGTGGGATATATTATAGTAACTTTTCCTGTTAACCTGATTTGAACCCCAGTATTGCTCTCCCCATCTTGTTCTGACTGATTTTACTGTATTCTGTTTTGTTTGATAGTATCAAGTTTGAGGGTATAGCTATCCACTTTGAAGGCAATAAGATTTACTATGAAGCCCATTCTGGTTTGACTATTGTCTCCTTTTGAAGTCCTATAAGGTCTCCAGTATAGGTTTTATTGGTCTTGTTCTGTACTGTTTTGTTCAATTTTATTATACCTGATGATATAGGCAACTCTGTTTAAGATGGCAAGAGGCATAATGGTAACCATTTTTGATCACCTGTTATTCTGTTTTTGCATCGTGTGCTATGTCCATCCTTGTATTCTGACTTTTTGTTTTTTGACATGGAGTGTCACCTTGCTGTCCCGGTGGGTCTTGAACTCCTAGTCTCTGGTGTCCTCCTGCCTCAGCCCGGGGTCTCTGCAGTGTGGTTCCAGTTTGCCAGCCTCGCCCTCGCGGTTTCTTGCGTTCTGAGCTGTAGCCGTAGAGAGCCACTCCTGTTGCATGATACATTGGTACTTTTTTGGTGCCTGTCAGTTTTCCATTCTTCAAACTGACTTCATCTTCTTAGAGAGTATTTGTCTCATTACTCTTTTTTGTTTGTTTTGTTTTTAAGACAGGGTCTTGCTGTGTAGCTCAGGCTGGTCTTGAACTTACTATGTAGCCCAGGCTGGCGTCAAACTCATGGTGATCCTCCTGCCTCGGCCTCCTGAGTGCTGGGATCATACGTGTGTCCCATTACGCTCGGCATCACGAACTCCTTATAAAAGACTTGGCAACACCCACATACATGTGCTGAATAAAATCCATAATTCCAGAGATAATTTGCTGTAAGAATTTTGATTTATATCTCTGTAGCTGAGAGGGATCGAGTTCATTTTGAATGCTTATTATAGACTTTGTATGCAGTGTAGTGTTGTTATTCACTCTTGTCTCACCCCCTTCTAGCGTGCTAGCTCCTTTTCCAAACTACAACTCTAAGAGTGACTTTCATCTTTGCAGCATGCACATACTTTGAGCACAGTGACTTTCACGTAATGAGCAGCCCAACGTCCTGTGTAAATCAAAGGGGGAGGGAGATAAGCCTTTAACTTGAACACAAGCCACGGCGACAAACACAGGCACTGTGGTTGCTTCGTAAATGCAGTGCTGAATATGTGAGTAGTATGTTGTAGGAGAAATACAAAGAGTACACTATTGAAACTGTATCTGGAGTGGTTAAAGGACAAAGGACCTGTCATGGTAAGATGATGTTAGTATATTAGATGGAGAAGAGTTTTGCCTTGAAAGAAAAAAATTGTACTTAAAAAAAAGGGCTTACATGGCTAGATATCAAAAAGGGGAGGTCTTGTGCATTGCTTTTTTAACCCTGGTTCTGGTTTGAATTTTTTTTGTACATTTTTGCAATACATAGTGTTTACTTTTTAAAGATACCAGTGCCTAGACTCAGGCCCTGACCAGTTAAATTAGAATCTTTGGTGAGATCAGCTGCATTTGTTCTGTTTTTAAGTTATCTAAGTGATAGAATGTATAGCTGGGCTTGAGAACCTCAATGTAAGGAGGGAAGCCCACTTTTAAAAATTACTTCTGGTGCTAGGGATTGAACGCAGGACCTTGGACATGCTAAGCATGTGCTCTATCTCTGAACTATTCTCCCAGCCCCAAAAACCCTTTAAAAACAAAAAAAAAGTCAACCTCTTGCAGTCACCTTATTGGGAGAAACCAGGAGATGAGGCTGAGCGTTTTGGTGGGGTGAGTTCAGCTGGTACAGATGGTTCTGTGTTAGGTATACTTGAAAGCACTTGAGTAAAATCCATCCACTAGCTATTATTAAGAAAACAGTCTTTGCTCATATCCTCTCCTTCCTTCCCATGGCTAAGGCTGCCTTCTCCTATGGCAATAGCTAAGGTAGAATGTACCCAGAACAAGTTAGGTCATCTTGTTTACCTCGGTATATCCAAGCTTCTTCCAGGGAAGACCCAGGTTCAAAAACGGTCAAAACATTCTTTGTGTCATATATGGTATTCCTCACATTTGTATCTCAAAGCTTAACACACACACCCTCATGCCAATGAAACACACAGAGTGTGTGTGTGTGTGTGTGTGTGTGTGTGTGTGTGTGCGTGTGTGTGTGTACACACACGTGCACTTAAGGTTATCTAGTATTGCAAAGCAGAGTGTCTGCTTCAGTCTTATCAAAGGGAAAAAGGAATCCTGGGTCTCTTGCTCTAGCTGTTAAGTAGCAGGTCTGTAACATACCACAGTAACACATTTTTTTGCCCTCTTGGATTGAATGCAGGAAATGTTATTTTGCTAAATAGGTTTGGGCTTTCATGTTCAGAGACATACTCACATGCTGTCATAGAATAGTATTTAAGTCCAAACCAAAGTGTTTTGGTTGCAATGCAAATATTTCAGTGAATGTTTAGGATTGGAACATATGAACAAAACTCACGTCCAATTTAGTTGATTTATCCTTGCATTCTTGGGTGCAGGAAGAGTTTTGTTGAGCTCTGTCAAGGGAGGAATTAATGTCCTCTGCCTGTGAGGTCCTTCCTTGGGAAACCTGAGGTCTTAATGTTGTTGGTACAGAATATTTTTCTCTTGGCAAGAGTAAAGCAGCCAGGACCACGAAGTAAAATGTCCTCACTAGCCAGCGCTTGGAATTGGAATGAATACCTCACACTTGTAGCAGTAAAGCTGTGGGTCCTGTTTTCTGAAGTTGTCACACATCGTCACAGCAAACGCGTGTTACTGAGGCGTCCGCCTAGCGTCCCCACAGTGCTCCCTGCCCTGGCTCGTTTTTTTCTTATTCTTCATTTCCTGTCAGCTCTTGTAGGTTCAGTTTTCTAAACCATTGCATCACCAACATTTTCTTCACAGATTCCACCCCTGCGTGTCCCTCTTTTTGTGTGCACAGGAGTAAATTTCACACATCTCACTCATTCAACTGTTTCTGTATCCGTTCCGCTTCTGCATCCTGGAGTCCTGGTGCCATACTTCTGGGAGCTAGCCTAAGTGTCCACTTCCCAGAAGAAAATAATCCTACTCAAATGGGAGGGATTCTCCTAGGCTTTA